TGAACATTAATGTTGCATAAATAGGTGCTTTTCACTCCATTCTGTCCAATCCATACTGTGACGGTGCTGTTAAGATCTATGAGTTCGCACGTATTTTGGACAGATCCTAATATTTCTCGCTATTCCAATAATTCTCTTGGTCACGATGTGTCCGGCATAATCCGCTTAGATTTAAAGACTCTTATTATATTTTAATACAGAGAAAAAAAAAAGAATCTTGTAAGCCAATAAGTGTTTAGAATATACAAGTAAAATATTACGAATCAGTAGCATGCTACTAGAGTCGTTTTTCTATTTTAAAATTTAAAGATGGCGATATCACGGATCCCACGATGCTGCAACTATTTTAATTAAATAGTCCATGTTAGATAGGGTTGTTGCTTGTTACACGGACGTCTGAGATCCAGCGCTGACCGCAAAACTTGGCCGCAACCTGCGCGCACGCATCCCTATACCGTTATGGACGACTGACCGCAGATACGTTATCATATTTTATTTTCTTAAACCAACTGCTATGCTAGGTCCTGTATAGATATATTATGATGTAGTTATTTTGTTGGTTTAAGTTGATACTGCTATGGTTGCTATTATAAAGGTAGTTAAATTCAAGAATAATTGTGTTTTTGTAACTAGTTCTCAGCATAGTTAGATTTAGTAATTTCTTTTTAACTTTTAGCATAGAAGATACGATTGTCACAAACTGGGCACCAGATGCCATACTTAAATGAAAATTTGAAAAATCCATAAACGCATTAACTGTTTCCCAGTCAGTGGTCGAATCCGAAACTCTTTAATTAGTAGTCGCAAGTGTAACTTTTTATTAAATGGGATACCACAACCTCCCAAGCCCGCTGCAACTCCTGTAAGCCAGGATCTACAGTATAACACCATGAAAACACCGGGACACTCAATTCCGGAGCGTCCCAGGGACATGAATAACTGTCTTGGTTCCCGCAACAAAGTGAATCAGAAGATATTATAAGAGGAGAAGAAAAAAACGATAGTTTCCACTTCCCTCGGTGAATTACTGGAGAAGACAGAATGAATTAAGCTTAAAGGCACAAAATGAGACTGTACAACTGGAAGAACCACGGAAATTTAACTAAAAACTAAGTGGGTCCTATGTGTGAGCTGTTATACTTGCTTCCAATTATAGGTATGGTAAAAGCGCCTAAACGCACGAAAATTTGTTCTAGATTGCAAGTGTGACGATTATCAACAAGGCCGCCTTGTAAAGACAGTTAACGTTAATGAATAACTCCATAAATTTAAAACCGATCATTAAACACACTCCATTCTCTACCCGTAAAAAACAGCTGACTTCGAAAAAGGAAAGTGCTAGTGATGTGAAGTGTTCACTCGATTGCCTCACAATGTCACCGAGAGAGCTATTGATAGTCGACGCGATCGATAGACACGACTACACGTTGAGCTAAACATAACCATTTTATCTTGGTCTCGCCTTGTGTGATATATTCACACATTGCACGGTCAGTTTATACTGGTTTGTATAGTTTAATATGTAGTCTTCTGTACATCTCTGCATGGTTATACGTGACGGCTGAACAGACAATTCAATAATGTTCTTCTATACATAATACAGTACCTACTTCTAGTATTTCTTTATGGGACCTACTCTTAGAACGGTAACTAAGGAAATGGTTGTTGTTCCGTCTACTGCGGCTTCAATTGTTTCCATTTCGGATTGGTATTTTTTATTTTGTTTAGTAGTATCTTTTTATAGATTCGTATTTGTTAAGTGTTTACGTTTTCCTATATGAAAATACATAATTAAAGTGTTTATCTATTTTTAACAGATATTAAAACGAAAAAAATGGAGATTCTCAGTTAAAAATCTATGTATGTGTTTGTGCGCGATTATCTCGCTATTGGCAGAACCATTTTTGACGCAGTTTTCAGAAAAGAGTTTGTTAAACTTCGGAGAAGGTTTCAGTTTATTAATTAACTTAGTTTATAAAAGAATTATTGTATCAAAATTAGCTAAGCTTTAATAACTAATTTAAGGTAAAAGCCAAAAAATGAAGAGTCTTAAGATATATTTAAGGAAAGGAAAGGAAATTCAAAAAGCACCTGCTAGCGTTTCTGTACCAGAATCATTCAGGACTTACACAGACTTACTCTATTTAGCCGCCTTTAAAGGTACTCCCTCACCGGAAGCATTCGCATGTAATGTAACGTTACAGGTCTGAGCATTACATTAGTGAAGGAGGAGAACCGAGCATTACAATTCGCACCTTGTAATGATACAATTGTATATTAATCTCGATACAACTTGTAACATTAATCTCTGACATCTTGCTATAAAATGCTCAAAGTCGAATCTATATTATTATGTTTTCGGCTTACTCACGTAGTAATTCGACGAGGAACTCGACTAGTTTCAAGCCATGCTAGAGGCTCATATTCATGAGCAGCATTTCGCGACCCGCAACGAATCTATATGTTACATTACACGCAAATGCTCGTTAGTCAGGGAGGTATTATTGTAATGTAATGCTCAAAGTCGAATCTATAATGTTACATTAGGTATACGTGAATGCTCCTGGTGAGGGGAGCACCTTTACACGCGGCACTTTAAAAATCTTAGTTCATAAAACATCAGTAATAAATTTATTCTGAACTATGCCACCCTAACCCACGCGTGTCAAAATAATATAAACGAATTCATGCAATGCGACTTCAAGACGGCCAAGTTTGTACCATGCACTTGGCAATTTTCCACACGGCCAAGACCTTTTGAACTTTGAACGTAAATTATATAACTTGACTTTAATCTTCATTTATATTCCGGATTCCCCACCCCTTTTATTACTTTATTAGTTACTAACCTTTGCATGTAGCTTTACATATGCTAATTAGGTACCTATATAATATGAACCGTGACTTGAATCAATCTACCTATCTATTTTTAAGTAAAACTCAATACTTAAACATCAATAGTTACTTCTAAAATGGAGTCTGACAAGAAAACAGTGTAATACTCGTCACTCGTCAAACTTCCAAGCCGAATGGCCGTTACAACTCTTTGCGCGGGAAACTTTACTAATCTGTCACATTTGACAGATGACAGCGTCAACATGACAGCTAGTGTTGTCGATAACACAGATCAAAACTAGTGACGTTCATTTAATTGATTTATGTCGTCTATCACTATTGAAAGAACTGTATCAAAATCTGTTCTGCAATTTTAAAGATCTAAGCATTGACAGACAGCGGAAAGTGTCTCTGTTATACTATCTAGTGATTACAAAGGTATGGATAATTCAAAGTACAAATTCCGAGGTACGGTATCAATGGCGAAATGAAACTGCGTGTTGACAGTTTGGCGTTACAGACAGACAGTCATATACTGCAGTTAATAGTACCTATTGCAGTTACGAAAAGAAAAAAATAATATTACAAGTAATGCTAATATTGTAATTATAAATGCAAGTAACATTAGAATAAATATTTATTCGTAATTAGCTTGGAAATAATTGAAAATAAAGAAAAAAATAGTTACTAGTAACAATAAAGGTCAATGCAAATTTTAAAACTGTAGTAAATATGAGTCGTTGCATTAAAATAATAAACAGCAATTAATTTTTCTAGGATCTGGGAGACAGGTGTAAAAAAACAAACATGACTTTATAAAAATGTAAATTATTAACGAATTCATATTAGGTACCAAGATAGACGGACATTTGCTTTACTTTACCTGTACAGTACAAGGTACTGGGTACTATGTACAAAACTAGGCCCTTCTAATAACACTGATACTCCAAGCCCTTCATACAGTCCTAGTTCTTCATCAATCCGTACCAGATAACGGCTCTCTACATTCTTAGCTGTAATAAATTGATGGTGTTTAGCGGACGCTCCGCTCCTTCGAGATTGTGGCTTGCAAAGATAATGTGAGCACATTACAGTGCTTCACTAGTTATGCTGCCCTGGTACCTTAGACTTGCCGCCTCTTAGAAATACGACAGCATAGGTAACGAGTTTTATGATAATTATAATGGATGCTATTTAATGCATCATATTTGAATGTATGTAGGTTCATAGTTTGCCCTAAAAGGTTAGTAATACCCACACTTGTAATTGTGTGCCTAATACGTTGATATATCATACCGGATATCCCCAAAATTTGTTCATACAAAAGTAGTCTATAAACATCGGGAATAAGATCTATAATTGAGTTAGTGGAGAGCGGTCACCGGTGACTACTTAGGGATAATAAACAGTTAAAAAAGGAGGAGGTACTATGTTCAGATGCTTGTTTTTTTTTGTTTAAATGGTGTACAATATTACGTTTTCTTAACTGGAATATCTAATCAAATAGTTATTTTGTAACTCGACAATTACTTATTAACAAATAACAATTTGTTACTCCTTCACGTCAATACGACTTAAGGGTTCGGCATGGATAACTAGAGAATTGTATTGTAAACCCGATCAAAAAAGAGTAACCTATCTGATTACTGGATTTATGTATACGCATGTTTTACAAATAAATAATCTTTCTTTCTTTCTTTCTTTCTTTCTTTCTATTGTGGCTTTGGAATAAGCAACTAGCTTCACTTCTAAATTTTTGTTGTTGACTTTCAAAAGTGCCTTACTGGTCTAATTGAAATAAATTGTTTTGATTTTGACTTTGACGCTGACTTTACTTTGACTTTGACTTTGGCGTTGACTTTGACTTTGACGTTGACTTTGACTTTGATTTTAACTTTGACTTTGCTACTTTTTACGGAAAGGCGGGTGAAGCCAAGGGCAGAAGATAGTAACAAAAATATTTTCTGTTAGAAGTGACCTCTGTATTACAATATTACAATAAGTAAGTATAATTATCAATTATTATGTCAAACATTATAATTTTGTATCCGATAACCTGTTAATAAATTAATTTACATTTAATTATTGGATATTTCTAATATAAAAACCAGTTATTATTACACATTAAACATTATTTAATTAGTAATCATAGATTGCGGTAACTGGTAGGCTAGTTGTAGAAATGGGGAATAGTAAAGAAGAGTCATATTTTTTATCGAAAGTGAGAGAATTTGAGAAATGGATAGGGTTCCAGACCAAGATAAAATGGACGGTCACTTTTATAGTGTTGGTGTACCATATTCTGGCTGTCTACTGGTGTTACCATTACACATGGCCTGTGAAATGGCAGACGGTTCTGTTTGGTGAGTACGATTTTATATAGTTTTTTTAATATGGTTCTTATTAACTGTTATTGTTTTAAAATCGATAAGTTTCAACTTTGTATGTATTTACATCAACAGCCTATAAGTGACCACTGCTGACCAAAGGCCTCTTCTCACACGGAGAAGGTTTGACCATTAATCACCACACTTGCTCAATGCTGGTTGACGATTCCAAACTTATAATTAGAAAGACCAGGTCACGATGTTATCCTTCACTGTTTGTCAGTGGTGTCTTAAAAAATTTTAGAAAGTACATGTAACTCGGAAAAAGTCACTTTGGTACTTGTAGTTGGTAGGTTTCAAACCCGCGCCCTCATGCATGAGAAGCGGTATATTCGTTGTATGGACTATTATCAATTTCTTTAAAGCGTTTTCTATAGCTAGAATCAGTAAAGTCGGTTTATGTGTTGGCGTCCACATTTGGATCATTGATAAAATATCTGACTAGTAAAATATTCCTAGTGTTGGCCAAACTATAATAATTTAATTTTTAATAGAAACAGGCGATTTTACAAAAGAATCGAGTGCTGTGTACGCCAAAATTTTATAAAGAAAACGTTTTACTTTTGCAGCGTACATGACATTTGTCTTCAGTGGTTTCGGTGTAACCGGTGGAGCGCATAGATACTGGGCCCACAGAACATTCAAAGCTTCCACGCCATTGCGCATCATCATGATACTAGGCTTCGCAACAGCTGGGCAGGTAGTAGACCAAACTATTCAATATCATATTATTAATCCCAGACAAATTATGACAAATTATTATCCCATTCCTTATAATTTATAGTCAAAGATGTTAAATGCATAACACACCGTTATTGTCAGCTAAGTTAAAGACCAAGATTCAGTAAATTGGGTTTGACTATTTTAACATAGTTAGACCAAAGTACCTATTATTCTTAGATTGCTTTTTCATACGAAATACAGTCGAATTTGACCACTCTATCAATGTTACACTAACGAAGTTTCATAAAACAATGAAGGCAGTCGTAACTCACAAATTTGGTAGTAAACGCAAATACTTTCATGTATTGACGTTATTACTTATTCGTTATTACGCAGTTTATCACTGCTATTGCCACCAGAAAGCATAGTTAAAGGCGATATTAAAATAAGGTACCAGTACGCTTTCGTCTTTCGTCTTTCGTTTCAAAATAATAGTACCGGCTTGTAAAATTGCAGAGTCTAGACTCTCCAGGCGATACCGGGAGCAAAACTTAGTATCAACATAAAAGTTAATAGCGCAGTTTGATATTTTATTACTATAACTGGCGAAAAGCGGGTCTTGGGTCCATCTGAAAAGTCCAAGAACATCCTATGTTAATCAGAGTTTTCTTTTATTTCCTAGAACACTTTACGGCAATGGGTCCGTAACCACAGGGTCCACCATAAATACAGTGACACGGACTCAGACCCTCACAATCGTGAACGTGGACTGTTCTTCTCTCACATCGGCTGGCTCCTCATGCATAAAAACAAAGCAGTCGTCAGCAAATTCAAGGAGACCGACATGTCTGATATTGACAATGATCCCATTGTCAATTGGCATACCAAGTGAGTTTTAATGTATTGAACTTGCAAGAAGATTGGCAGATTATACTTTGAATTTGAGTGTTATCTATTTATTTAATACGCTTCATTAACATGGTGTATAAATGCACCATGTGACTTAATGCCGCGGGCATTTTCTCCCTCTCTGACCTTTGAGTGATGCAGAGAAGAGTAAATGGAGATTTTTGTATAATTAATGAACAAAATTGTTTGATTAAGTTCAGTGATCAAATTGGGTCCAAAAACTACATTTTCTTTGTTAACTATGAGAAGTATAACAATTGGGCTAAACTCCTAACAACTGAGCCGATTTTGTTGAAATTATAATCTTATTTGAATAATAAGGAGCAAAGATTATGATCTCTTCAATTAAAAAATATACTCAATGCAACACTGCTTCAAATTGAGAAAGAAGTCGAAACCGCAGCAAAGGGCTACTATCTACTACACAAAGAAGCTCATTTCAAATTCCATTCACGTGCCCATAAAATGAATTCTTAAACAATTTACCTCAAAATGTTATTCTGCGGAATTTTGGTTGCTGCTTCATGAATATTTCATATATTGTTAATGTTTAAGGTATGTAGATATAGTGAATCCCTTGGCATGCATGGTGATACCTACATTGACGGGGATTTTGCTATGGGGCGAGGATTGGCGCGTGGCCGTGGCCTGGCAATGCTTCATCCGAATGATGGCCGTCTACCACAGCGAACTGACCGTCAACAGTCTTGGGCATACACTAGGATACAAGCCCTATAACCAGTAAGAATCCTGTGTTTTTATAATAACTATCGTGAGACATACTAAATTAACTAAAATCACGGGTTACTCACGTGAATCCTAATCGTAAATTTTTTTTAGACTATAGAAGCAGATATTGGGCAGCAGTGCTTTCAATTAAAGTAGTTCAATAGAGTTTTTATGTATGCTGTATTTTGATAAAGTAAAACTATTTTTAATAATGGACGATAATTGCAGGCTGCTAAACAGATGAAAATTGTTCATAAATTTAAAATTAAGATGCAAATACTGAATGCAATGTAAATAGAGTCTTACCTAACGACTGCTTAAGGATTTGAGATAGACGATATACGACGATAGACGAAGATAGATAGGTACATGACTGTAGAGTAGTCCAATAAAACAATAACATTTTTATTTATTTATCAACAGATCAATAAGGCCAGCGGAAAACGTTTTTATAGCTGCATTAACTGGTGGAGAGGGCTGGCATAACTTCCACCACGCATTCCCCTTCGATTACAAGACCTCGGAATGGCCCCACAGCATAGACACGACCACAAAATTAATCCATCTTTTTGAAAAATTTGGGTGGGTACATGATAAGAAAGAAGTATCCCCAGAAACTATTAAGAAGTACTCTTTACAACATTGTGAAGGGAATGAACAAATCAAGATGGCCGAAAAAGAATTCTAAGTTTAAAATGGAAAATTGTTTTTAAATTAATAGACAATTTGACTTTATTATAGTAATTTCCTATGCTAAGTTCTTAAATATCAGTCGAAATGTACCTTCCTAAATATTCTGTAAAGTATAACAATATAAAATTGGGTAATCTGAAAAGATTTATTGCAACTTTAGGATATCAATAAATATATAATTATAATTAAATAAATAAGGTGATATTTATACCTTTACACTAAGAAACACAAACAATAACTTAAGGAAAGCAGTACACCATAGAAAGTAGTGCAAAAAACAGTACAATGATCATACAAACACCATACAATTGCACCATAATGGCGGCTGTAAAGGCCATCGCCGTTCACTATAACTTAATACAAACAACTTGAAATGTGCCGTTAAAATATCTAACTTTAACGTATCGAGATATTAAATATTTGTGTACTTATTTAAAGCCTATTAAATCTTTTTATATACAAATTAAAGGATACACAATGAATGTAACAAGTATATTAAGCTGGTTTAACCAATTTTGTTTTATCACCTATATTTACTTTTTTATTCTAATTAAAAGGCATTATGAACATACTAATGTAGAAAGAGGTCTTAATGCCATGGGCATTCTCTTCCAGCCAGACCTTAGGTGATGCAGAGACAAAAATAATGGTCAGTATGGTCTATACAAGAATGGTCCTGTACAATGTATTATAATAGGACAAGCCGTATTATTAAGAACACTAAAAATCTAATCTTTATAGGAGGCTCAATCCACCTGACCATACCCCAGTTCCGAAATCTCCCAATCGTCAAACCTAATCCGCAAAATCCCGGCAATTCACTTTATAACCCTTGTAGTATTCCACAAAATATCAAAGATAACTCAACTTAATTCTAGAGTACACAAAGAGCAAGAAATTTTCAACACAGATGGATAAAACTACCAATAATAATTTCGTCAAAGTCAAAAGTCAAAGAAAGAAAAATCATTTAAATCAGCACTAGTCACGATGCAGCTTAAATTAAATTAAAAAAGACAATAAAGGTATGACAGTGGAATTAATAAAAACATCGAGTTGAAAAATTAAAACTAAAGAATTAGAAGAGAGACGCTGACAACATGCCTATGCTAAAAGGGTCACCCACTCAGTGTAAGCCAGGCATATAAGTCACCCAGCACTGATTTTCAGTGGTCACCCATGCAGTGACACAAGTCAAAGCGATTATTTCAATTTAGCTATTATTTCTTTTACCCGCGGCTTCGCTCGCGTCACAAAAGAATAAAAAGTAGCCTATGTGACATATACCAATACACACAGAGCCATCTATACCAATACTTTTGTTTTTCCTCGGGAATATCAATTTTTCCGGGTTAAAAAGTACCCTATTATTTAATCCGGACTTCTAACTTTACGTCTGCAAAAATTCAAAGCAATCGGTTGAGTAGTTACGGCGTGAAGGTGGAACAAACAAACAAACAAACTCACTTTCAGATTTATAATATCAGTAAGGATAATAATTAAGTAAGGAAGTAAGGATTAGACACTTTTGAAACGTCAAAAATTGAATTGTCCGTTCGTCTGTCCATCAGTACTCGTCAGTAGCACGGACACTAGACCATAGAAAGCCAGGCAACCCAGGTAACATGGTAATAAATTCAACTTAGAAACGTTTTAAGTAATTAAGTTAAAACAATAGTAGTTAACAAAGATATAATGGCTGACTAATAAAGATTAATCGCTTTACATTACCATATGAAACTAGGAATGTTGCTCGACAGTCAATAGGTACTTACTTCAAGTGGACAAACTATTGCTGGACTATTGCTTAGTATTTGCTAAAAAGTTAGGTAAAAGCCTAATGTTTCTTAAGTACACTTTGTTCACTGCCTCATTGGCCGAGTGGTTCTAAGTGCGACTGCTAGGAAAGAGGTCTCGGGTACGATTCCCGGGCCGGGCAAAGTAGGAATTACTGGGTTTTAAAAAAAATCTCAGTAGTAGCACGGAGTCTGGAAATGTGCCCGGTATATGGCAATAGGCTCACCCCGTATTGCATGGGACTAATAACATAAATCGTGAAAAATGAGTGTTACATTGTACAGTGGCATTAAGCGCCGTAATGTGCACCTCCTACTCCTTCGGGTATAAAAGCCGTGATGTTATGTTTCTTAAGTAATTCTTTAACATATGGTTAATGAATATTGTTATGTCTCTGTAAAATTCTATTTCATAGAACTCTTCAAAGGATTAAGGACTACAGAGACGAACCTTTATTCAATAGATTCAAGATATTGTTATTTTGCCAGAAATATTCGTTCGTTATAAGTACGTTTCATATGATATTTTTTACAATCAATACCTGAAACACAGAAATACTTTAAACCAAATATAATTTACTTATTCCAGTTTAATAAAAAAAACGAGCAAGATACCACTGTTACTGTTTCTTCAATCCGTTTTACAATTGTAGCATAAAAACATGATAATATCAACTGTAATTAGTTATAGATAAGAATCATTTTCATAACTTGTACTCTGTCTGTGAGAATGCTAAAGAATTCCCACTTGAAACTATGAGACCAGAGGGCCAAGCACGAACAACTATCGCATTCGTAACGTAATAGTATCGAGCGCGTTCGGCGCTCTGATTGGTTGGTTCACTTGAGCCGGCCAATCAGAGCGCCGAACGCTCTCGATACTATTACGTTACGAATGCGATAGTTATTCGTGCTTGGTACTCTGAGGGCCAAGCACGAACAACTATCGCATTCGTATCGTAACAGTATCGAGCGAGTTAAGCGTTATGATTGGTTGGTTCACTTGAGCCGCCCAATCAGAGCGCCGAACGCTCTCGATACTATTACGTTACGAATGCGATAGTTATTCGAGCTTGGCACTCTGTTAGAAATAACGTAGGCAGTAAACAATAAAATAGGTACAGTTTGATCGTTAATTCAATATAACAATCTTGTATTAAATTCTTATTGCATCTTCGAGGCCAATAATGCAATAAACATTGAAGAATAAAAAAAGAAACAAATTGTTTCAGAGTGAATGGATTACGCAAGTCATAATATTTAGGTAGATGATATAAAATCTGCGACTTTGATCGTCGAAAAATTATCTGGCTTCAAGACCTATCAGCATTACTTAAATTAACTCGCTGAGTACCCTCAATATAGACACAATTAAAGAACAATAGGTTGCGGTCACCGGTGACCGCTCGGTGTTTGACAGTTTAAATTAAATCTGTTTAGTTATTTAGTAGTTTAATTCAGAGTTGCATTTGTGATATACAATGAACTGAAAGAAAGAAAGAAAGAAATAAAGAAAAAAACAAGTGACATGTACATAAAAGTCATTGTATAGTAGGTAATGATGGATACATGTTTATGTCCCAAATCTGCCGCAAAATGGGAACTGCAATCAGACTCGCCCTTACCACGGCGATTATAATGATTAGACCCCTCTGAGGAGTTGAGGCCGATCAGACACCACGGCGCCCACACTTTTTCGGCACACGCAGGTGCTTACCGGACACGGTTGCGTTGAATGAAAGAAGAACAAACACAAACATAAATTTGGATTCCTCCAACCTGTTATCACAGCTGGAGTTATAATTGTAATGTGGCGACACATGTCACAAATCAACTGATGACGTCTAGAATCCTACATCGCACATGCAAAGTTTACAAGCGAATAAACATGGATAGAAACACCCAACAATCAACTGTTGGGCAGAAAGCCCGCCAGGCACGATCACTTTGTCTGGTCAGAGGATCCTCCTTTTCCGATCTTAGGGAACTTTCCACTCTGTTCCCTAAAGTAAAATAAACATCTACATCTAAAGTAAAACAAAGACATTGAAAGTGTTTAACTTAAAATTCAAGGTTTCAAACTGGTCCCGCCCACGTGTGCAGAACTAATTTAGATAAATCTTCGGCACTAGCACGAAGGTAGAATGAAACCAACAATTTTACACTTATCAACTATCACATCACTTGAGTTTAATCATAAGCTCTCGTAGCCTTTCATTCACGAACATTAATTAAATTAGAGATATCATTAGAAGCTATCAACGGTCCAAAGTATAGTGAATGTTTTCTAGTTATTTTGTATTGACGCATAGTTTAATGTCTCTATATCTTTTTCGAGTCTTTCAACCCCATAAACAGTCAGTGTCAGAACACAGCTGGCCTCCTCTTGGTTTTATCATAAACTTCACTGGAGTGTGGTGTGTTGGAGATGGTTTATATTAAGTTACTAAAAGATTCCTAAGTTTCCAAGCTACAACATGTCTTTTTTTTTTCTTTGAGGGGGGAAAATCATCCCATGACTTCTCCCGCCTGGGTGAGGCGGGAGGGAGTGTCAGACTCTTACTGACTAAAAACCACCCCGTTCCTACTCCTGCACTTCGAGCCGGAGCCCCAGCAACCCGTTAAGTCTTCCGCGGCTCCGTATCGGCATCAGCCTTGTTAAAGCTACAACATGTCTGGATGTCTCATAGACTATATAGCCTATCTATTTATGAAACACACCGTGACGTAATTTAAACATCAATCATTCTAGAACTAGAACAACGGATCCAAAGGGCCTGCATCCAGCTAAATTGTATGAAAATTGGTCAGTAATTTAGCCGTGAGAAGCTTACAGACTAACAAACAGTTACTAAAGCATGCATAGATAAAACAATAGGCCGTGTTTAAATAAAAAGAAGACAAAAGAAAGGTGTATCTCAAATAATGTATTGTTCTTTATAATTGGTGAACGATGAGCGATCGTGGTGAAGACATAATGAAGATTAATTTACACCAATTTCGTTTGGACTTTCTCTGTAGCAGTGTCGATGTCGTGGCCATTAAACATTAATGATTTATTATTGAACTGAACCTGTATGGTGCAATACTTGTTGCTTTGTTGATGATGGTAGGATTATTTGTTTTATTTTGATTGTGGGAATCAGATCGATATTAAAAGCTTAAGTGTAAAGCTTAGATTGTAATATACGTAGGCTTCACTCTTTCTTTCATATGTGTTTCTAATTGTTCTAGAAAGGTTTAAATATAACTATTCTTTTAAAATTGGTATTTGTATACTAT